TGCTGAACTGAACAGCATTTTGGTGAGACAAGTCTTTTTCCAATTGACTGAGTTACTCGTGATTCGAAATGTATTGAGAAGACTTAACATCTTCAGCATTTCCTGCTCTCTGGGCTGTGATTTTCCTAAGCAGAAGAGAACTGTGAAGAGGAAACATTTCAATGGACTCCAGGGCCAGTGAGGGGGTGGAAATTTCATGCCATTCTGAAGTTCTCCACACTGGAGAATTTCAAGTGAAGAGCAGCTGCTACATGTTGATGCACCTCAAACCCTCCAGCAGTACTGATCACATGCTGGAAGTCTCTGGGTGTTGCAGCATAATGAATAATACAACAAGAAAAAGAGTCAGAATCCATTTCACTTAGCCTGGTTTGAGTTGGAATGGACATTAGAGCTCATCATGGGTAGGGACACCTTCCACTAGCCTAAGTTGCTCCAAGCCCCATCCAACCTGGCCTGGAACACTTCCAGCCACTTGTACTCAGCAAATTGCAAAGGTCCTCAGTTCCCTGAGCCAGGAAAGTTAATTTTTTTTCCTATTCCAAGCTGCTAATTCCCAGACTTTTGCTAATGGCAGCGTGGGGACCTGGAGGGTCTCTGTGGCAGCTTCTTGCTGGAAGGGAACCTACTGTCAGCAGAACTGAAAAATGCATAAATTTTCACAACAAGTGACTCTTTAGCCCTTCAACTCACCATTATCCCTTGAGGAAAAGCTCCCTGGCTTACCATAACAGTGAGGATTTATTGCCATATATAAGCAAAAAGAATCTACTTGATTCTTTCTTTGCTGACAAAATCTTACCCCAGCTCTGTCTCTCCATGTCATGTTCTATTTTTTTCCCCATGAAGGTGAGACCAGCTCTGTCTCTCCATGTCATGTTCTTTTTCTCCCCATGAAGGTGAAAATAAGCAGTGAATTAATTCCTTGTTTTGCTTTGCTTGTGTGTGCAGCTTTTCCTTTCTCTATTAAACTGTCTTTATCTCAACCCATGAGTTTTTCTAGCTTTTACCCTTCCAATTCTCTCCCCCATCCCATTGCTGGGGCAGTGAGCAACCCTTCCAATTCTCTCCCCCATCCCATTACTGGGGCAGTGAGCAAGTGGTTGCTGGGGTTAAACCATGACAGTCACCACTCTGAGCTTCTCTTTGGCCCTTAAACCAGAGCTGTGGCACATGCAGGAGTTGTAATGAGGCACCATGGGCTGATCTTTGTGTTTATTTATCTGTTTCATTGCAGCTAAGTGAGGGGAAGTCTGCAGTGTCAGCTCTGATGCTCAGAGGTGTCTTTCCTTAACAGCTTGTGATGATAACATGCCTGGAGAAGTTACTGTACACAGAGTTACTAATTAATTTATGATTTAGCATTGTTATCATTTTACCAGCGTGTCAGTCATCCTAATTTGTCTGTAAGTGAGCAGAGGTGTATTTCAGCCAATGCAGAGCACCCATCAGCTGAAATTAGGCCACTGGAAGTGAAAATGAGGTGATTCTGCCCCTCTGCTCAGGTGAGATCCCACCTGCAGTGCTGCCTGCAGCTCTGGGGCCCAGCACAGGAAGGATATGGAGCTGTTGGAGTGAGTGCAGAGGAGCACCAAGTGATTAGAGGGATGGAGCATCTTTTTCTCTTTCTATGGAGAAAGGCTGAGAGAATTGGGATT